CATTCTTTTCAACCAGTTCCCTGTTGGAAAGTGGCGCAGCTTCAGGATCTTTTGTCGGCGATCAGAAATATTCCGGAAGGTAAATTGGTCACGTTGAGGTGGGATATTAGTGCAGGTTCACACAGTTGCCTAGGTGCTTGCAAACCACTTCGGTTTTTGGCGTCAGTGCAGAATGCGCTGTGCAGTCACAGATGTTTGTTAGTGGTTTGGAGAGATTGGAATGTTACTTTGTACGCGATGTTTGTTTCAACATGTATATGACAAACTATGCAACGTATGATACGTATGAGGTTTTGCATTTACAGTCCAACTTGGGGATTATTTTGTGAGGGCATGTGTGCACTGTCCCAGCAACGGGTTTATATAGATTTGAAACACTTGTTGGTAAGCGGAACAAGTTCAGTCAAACACTGATTTCTTCAATGCATGATCTGTCTGTTGCATCCAACAGGTTTTATGAAACCATGTGAACAAATAATAAAAACATGTCAGACGATATCAAAGGTTCCCAAGAGCAGGTTCCCAAGCAAGGTTCCCAAAAAGGGTCCCAAGAACAGGTTCCCAAGCAAGGTTCCCAAGCCGGGTTCCCAAAGGTTCCGAGGAAGAGGTTCCCAAAGGTTCCCAAGCAAGGTCCCCCAAGGTTCCGAGGAAGAGGTTCCCAAAGGTTCCCAACAAAATTCGCAATGACAATTCCTTGCAAGTGTGTGTGTGTGTGAAACATCTGAATAGATGTAAAACTTCTACTTCTACCTGATGATGTCGCTTTTTGGTGCTGACAGGTTTGAATTTTCTTATTCGATTTTCATTTCGATATCCAATTTCAAGCAGGGGGTCACCGGGGTCCCGGGGGGGTCAGTGACCAATGAACCCCGGGACCCGTGTAAACGTACCTGCGGGACTGTGGTGACGCACCTGGGCGCATATAAGTCGCAGCTGGTGGTCACCATAGTCCCATATATATATATATGTAACTAGTCTTTTACTTCTGATCATTCAACGGCTCCCGTCAGGTTTCACTGGAGTGTTTTTGCACGTGAGATGCATTCCACACCAATAATTCGATAAGATATTTCTGAGCAAGTGTGTGAAACATGCTGGATTCGTCAAGGTGGCATGAACACCTCGGGGAAAGCCTTTCCAGGCTAAAAATTGACACGTTGAAACGATCTCTGAATTGACACTTTTGAATTGGTAATTCGTCTAAGTAAAGTGAAACAGATGGCCTTCTTTCCAAGTCTCACTCGTCGATGTCGATTTGTGTTGGAACAACTTCCCGCTGTCTCTGGGATCACCACTTTTGATGAAGAACAGTTGCATAGCCTGAAGCCGCGACAACAATCCTTCTGTTATCTCAAGAGACTGACCGCAGCCCTTTTCACATGAAATTCCAGGCAAGAGGACATGCTTTTCAGGTGTGGTCACTTCTTTTCGGTTGATCTGGTGAGGTTCAATTGTGCACGTAATTCAGGGGTTGACTACTTAAGCCGTCTACAGGGTCGTGACATCAATGCCGAGGGCCTTGGAGCCTTATCACGAATTTTGCATGCAATGTGGATGCATCATGTTTCATCAACTAGTTCCCCATTGGTCCCCTATCTCATGCGTGCTCCCTTTCTAGGTTAGGTTTGGGTCCTTTGCGTGCCGAGGTAGGTTTTGGCTCTCGCCTTGTAGGTTGTGTCAGGCGCTTCTGTCCGCCCCCCCCTCCTCTGGTTGGTTTTTGGCCCGTCGTCCGTCCGCTTTTTCTTTTCCCTTGCCCTTTCAGGGTTTGCCCGTTTCGGGCTAGGTGTGTTGGTGTTGGTGTTCTCTCTCTTCCCTTTCCTTTTTGCGTTCCCCCTCTTGTGTTCCAGTTAAGTAATTGTCATCTCATCTTCATCGTCATTTCACTTCCACTTTCTTTCTCTCACTTTCACCTTCATCTCATTCGTCGGGGCCTTAAATGCCTCGCGGCAGCGGGGCGTGTGTGTGAAACATCTGAACTGATGAAAAACTTTTAAGAGCTTTGCTACATCCAATGCAGTCGTTGCACAAAATGGCCTCGCGGCAGCGGGGCGTGTGTGTGTGTGTGAAACATCTGAACAGATGTAAAACTTCTACCTGATGATGTCGCTTTTTGCTGCTGACAGGTTTGAATTTTCTTATTTGATTTTCATTTCGATATCCAATTTCAAGCAGGGGGTCACCGGGGTCCTGGGGGGGTCGGTGACCAATGAAGACACCTCCCCGGGACCCGTGTAAACGTACCTGCGGGACTGTGGTGACGCACCTGGGCGCATATAAGTCGCAGCTGGTGGTCGATGAGATTGCCCACAAGAACCTTCAGTTGAATGAGCAAGCAGCCCAGTCGATGAATGAGCAGAAATCTGCTCAGATGTACGTCCAGTCTCAGGATCATCGCATCAAGGAATTGGGTGCCGAACTTAACCTGTTCAAGTCTTCTGCAGGGATGATGTCTGCGTCAGTTGATAAGGCAACTGCTGATCTGAACGCAGCACAATCCCAAATTGCAATGTACAAGAATCAGATTGATGCTTTGAACCAACAGACAACGGATATACAGAAGGTAGCGGACCTTCAACGAAAGGACTTTGAGAGGGAGATTCGGAAACTTCGACAAGAACAAGCTGAACTTGTCCGTTCTTTGAAATCTGAACCTCTGGAGGGAACTCCTGGACTTGCCATCACGTATGTCAAGGGCAAAGGAACTCCTCAACCCTCTCAACCGTCCAAACCTTTTGCAGTTGAAGTTGGCGGCAGGGAGAAACACAACACTTCTGACGCCGACGACGAGCACTTCACTGCGGCACCCTTTATGCCTCCGGGTCTTCAATGTGGAGGACCTCCTGATGGCAGTGAGCCAGAAAATGACGATGATCGTCGTGGGAGAAAAGAAGAAGGATCGAAAGGTGAGTCGTGGTAGGTCAAGATGCCGACGTCGTCGTGATCCATCCTCGTCTCCGCCGTCCTCATCGTCTTCCAGGACTACTTCGGATTCTGAGAGCTCATTTGCACGTAAGGTTAAGAAAGCCTTAGAAGAGTCTAGAGTATCCGAGACAAATGCCAAAGAGCCTGATCGGGTGTTAGTTCCTAAATTTCCCCAACCCGAAAATTATAGGAATTGGAGGATTAGGGTAAGGGATGACGTAATTGCTGCTTCATCTAAACCTGATTTAGCCTTCCAATGGATTGAAGAAGTCTTCAAGACGGACCAGACTCTTGATTCACTAAGGGACTCAGGTAAGTTCGTCACGCTGGATGCAAAGTTGATGTCTTCCCTCACAAATATCTGCGAAGGGGACTTTGCACGTCAGCTCGACATCTTCAAGGAAGAGCAGGCAAAGTCGGGAACTCCAGCTAGAGGTCGTCAAGCACTTCTCATGATCCACAAACATATTTCAGCACAAGTAGGAAACATGGTGCAGTGTATGACATCGAGGATCTCATGGCTGTGACACTTGTCAACGACGATCTGCGGGGTTTCATTACCCGATGGGACGCTGTGATCGCTGGAATGACTTCCGAGCCTGATACAATGTGGAAGCAAGCATACTTTCACAATGCCATCAAGAACTTCAAGCCTCTTTCTCATGATCTGGCTGTGTATGATCGCACACCGGAGGGGGAACCCAACCGCTCTTATGATTTTCTCATGAAAGCTGCAAGGGACTACCTCGAGAGGAAAAGCTTGGCGAAGATGCGACAGGCCACCAAGAAGTCACTATCCGGAAAGAAGGAAGCCGCACCAGCTCCCACTAGACCTTCGTCTGCTGGGAAACCTCAGGGCATCTGCTACGACTTTCAGGCAGGGAAATGCACCAGAGGAAAGGATTGCCGATATAAACATGAGAAGTCTGACAAAGGCAAAGGTGGAGGTAAGAAAGGTCAACTTAGATCAAGTTCCAGAGGCACCAGTCGTTCTTTGTCTCCCGGATCTAGGAATCAACTTTGCAAGTTTTGGAAGGCGGGAAAATGTCACCGTGGGAGTGAATGTGCTTTTCAGCATCCGCCCAAACCTGCAGCTCCGTCTACCAAAGACGACAAGCGTGGGAAGAGCAAGAACAAGAGGAAGAAGAAGAAGAAGGGTGATCGGTCAAGGTCATCAAGTCGGGGATCCAATTCCTCGAAGGGCTCTCAGAGTCTCAAGGACAAAGGGGGAAAACCTTCATCCTCAGGTTCAGCTGCAGTTTGCTTGATGCGCGCTCTGATGATGGTCGCAGTCATCAACCCTTCGACCAGCACTCATCGCGTGCCGGAAGGCTTCGCCTCCACACCGTTTCACTATCAGCGCCGTTTTGCAATGCCTGTTACACGCAACCGTTCCGTTTCTTTTGAGGATGACATTGAAATCTTTGAAATTCCCATTGGATCCGAATGCAACATGAACCCATGTAGTGCTAGGCAGAGGACTCATAACCCAGTTTGCATCACAAAAGACGATCGTTTTCGTAAAGAAACGATCGAAGCTCGTGAAAGTGATGCCATACTCGCTGCACAAATGTTGCAGTCAGCTGTCTTTCGGGAGTTGCATGGGAAACCATGCAAGTGCAACTTCAATTGCGACAGTGATATTGGCTGTCGTCACTGCATCCGATCCGACCTGGAGGCCATGCCCGGCCATATGCCTTCTCAGCAACGGAATGCATCCGCCGAAATCGCATGGATTGCCGACACTGGCAGTGCTCAGGATTTGGTTTGTAGTAAAATGATTCCCGAGGACTTAGTGTATCACTCTCATGAACCCCTTGAATTAATAACTGCCAATGGTTCACAATCAGCTGACCAACAAGCTTCCGTTCACATTGACTGTACCCACAAAGAAGTTCAACCATATGTTCTTCCTGATACCCCTGCTGTGATTTCTGTTGGGATGAGATGCATTCAAGATGGATGGGATTTTGTTTGGAAAAGTTTTAGCCGTCCTTATTTCAAGAGGCGTTCCGTTTTCATGGAAGTCCGCTGCCGGGAACGGCAAGCCTGTCATACCGTCAAATCGAACATCTCGCATGTCCGTCGTAGGTGCAGAGTCTGATGACGAACCAGAGTTTGTGGGAGAACCATATGAGCCTTCCATCGCAGACACTGAGGATCTCAGAGCTGCAGTCGACGGCGACAAAGGCTACACCTCCAAGTGAAATCAGGACTGAGTCAGTACCTCAGTGAGCGCAGAAAGAAACGAGGTGACACTCTCGCATCATCTCCGGCGTCCACAAAAACACCGTCTCTGCATAGTATTGAACCAGGAAGGGTCGGTAAAGGTACGATTAATTTTTGTCAGTCCTTTTCTCAACCTATTCTCCCGAAATCATTTTCCCAGTTTGTTCCACCTGATACTGAGGCGCCCCGCGGTTCTAAGGATCCACCTCCAGGACCCAGGGCTTCAGCTGACTGCCAATCCTGGGCACAGGCCTTGGAGTGGATGCAAAACACTTGTCGGACGGCCCAGACGTTCAAAGATGACAATGTCAAACTGCTGCAGAATTGTTTACTCCAATGTAGTCAACTCACTCGAAGTATTAATCTTGCCTTGACCAAGAACGAGGCTGAACAAGATTGGGCCTCGGTCACTCAAAAACCAAACGTTGGCACCACTCAACAGGATGCCGACGAAGAAGACCAACCCAAACGGAAACGACTCCGAGGAAAACAGCCGGTGCAGGTTTTCGAATCAGTTGATAAGGGGACCAGACAAGGCATTCCCGAAACTTATTCTTGGCAATGTAATTTGTGCGATTTCAGTTTTTCTGCCAACAATAAAGGAACTTGGTCATCTAAGAAAAGTTTGCATATTAGTGCTGTTCACCCTAAGGAAAAACATCTCATTGCGGATCGTCGCACCTGGTATCCGCTGATCGAAGTAGCTAATCTTCCATGGAATAGCAGACAATGGACTTGCGCCTCCTGTGGTTTGGGGCTTCCATGGCTTCCTCCAAGTCAATTAGTCCGAAGTCGGGATGCACACCTTGAGCAGTGTCAACCAGGCAAAACGGCTAAGGACAATTGGCACACACTTAAGCAAGGCACCTCCAAGGAACACGTGGCCTACAAGGTTGCAACGAGGCGGGGGGGTTGGCACTCGGAAGAGTGGCGCAAAAACCGCACCTTGGCCGCAAAGGCTATGGGACATGATCTTCAGAGTTTTGTTCCAAATGAAGGGTTGATTAAATCTCAACGTTTGAGGTATACTTGCCGTTTTTGCAAGTGGATCCAAAAAGAAACTGATGCGTTTACCCGTCGACAATGCACTCCTCACAAAATGCCCAAAAAACATGTTTGGAGAGAAATTCGGCTGGACTATGAACCTTTTATCGGTAATCTCTTGAACATTTGGGGTTGGGGTAGGAAACATGTCATCACCATGGATTCATGGACCAATGCACAAAAACTCAGGGGTTGGGGGAAAAAATTGAACCGGCTCCCAAAAAAATCCCAACAGCTGAAAATAAACCTTGGTTCAAAAAGCTGAAACTGGATGGCAGGGAACCTGTGCCGGTTCCCCATGGTAAAGGATGGAAACGAGATTTGACGCAGGAGGGGATTGAACCTCATCCTGGGCCGCGGTCCAAACCGCGCAGATCTCAGCATTTGACCATTTTGCAACTCAACATCAACGGAAAAAACAACCTGTGGAATTTGGGCCATAATTGGTCACAGGAGGAGGTTGATGTGGTTTGTATCCAAGAGTCTCACATGTCTCAAAGTGAAAGTAATAACTTTGCTCAATATATGTGGAAAAAGGGTTGGGTCACCTACGCGGTACCCAGCACGCGCAGCCGAGGAGTTGCGACCTTAGTCCGAAAATGCTGGAAAAGCTGCAGGCTTTTCGATGTGGATAACCAAGGCGGTCAGTTTTTAGCTGTCCAGGTGGGCCATGTGACAATTGGCAATTTGTATGCGGCACATGACACTGAAAGAGAAACCTGCACGTCGGAAGTGTTTGAATTTTTGCACAGTCTGGGCCCTAGTCGTTGGTGCCTCACTGGGGATTTTAATGACCCTCCTAGTGTTTCCCCCCTGGCACTTGGTCTGAGCGCCAGCAGTTATAACTTGTGCAGTCCTGCTGACGGGACCAGTAGCAGATGAGAGGTGGATGCGGACAGAATCATTGACTATGGGTTCTCTAATTGTACTTTCATCACCCCTCACATGCTTCTCTCGGATGAGCGGTGGAGTGACCATCGTGCTGGCATCAGGCAACTCCAGACACCGGAAATGCATTCGCCAAATGAAAAACAGATTTTGGTGCCGTGTAACCAATATCTCCCGTGCAGACCTGAGGATATTTTCAAATGGACTGAACTTCTTCTTAAAAGTTGGAATGAAAATCAGGAGGATTGGAAAAAGTTCACACTATCCTTGAGTGCTAAAGTGAAACAAACGAATCAAAATAGCCCTGAGGATCAGCGTCAGTCTGTGGCTGACGACATTTGGGTTCAGCTGAATCGATTTTTGGAACAGTTCTTGCAAAAACAAGCAAAAGTCGCAGTTAACCAAGGTTTGGATATGAAATTTCATGGCAAGCCTCAGAGAAAAAAAGGGGCCCCGGTTAAGATTCGCGCGGCGCCTCTCAGCTATCACCAGTCTTACCCCTCAGGATCTTCCAACAAACTCCGAGTGTTCCAGAATTTTTCGGGAAGATTGGCTGAGGTTGAACGGCAGACGGCGCATGGTTGCTCCAACCTGGACAAGCTCTGGGCAAAAATCCGTAGATGTAAACATTTTGTCCCTGGAATGACGGCTTCACAGGCTAAGGACCAGGTGACTCAGCTTCTGCATACTGAACGGCAGAAGAACCTTGCATCTTGGAGAGCCAGATTAAGACACGATTCTAAGGAAGTTTTTCGATGGGTTCGGAAAAAACATGTTTGTCCTACTGTTAACATATACGACGATGAAACCGATGCATCAGCAACAGCTTCGGATCATGTTCAAGGTGCTCTGGAGGTGATTCATGGCCTGTGGGATCGGGTTTGGGAATGAGACATGTCTCAGGAAGACCCTCCATTTGATTATCTTAATAATTTTGCGGGGGATAGGTGCCCGACGGAAACATGGCAACCAATCTCGCCACAACAGCTTCAGTCCGCTGCTGCTCGGCAAAAATTCAAGGCTGGGGGCCCGGATGGTTGGACAGGCACGGAATTAGCCACCTGGCCTTTTCCAATGTGTCAGAGCTTAGCCGACATCTTTCAGATGTGGGAACAACTTCAAAGCTTTCCTTCCTGCTGGCAGGAAATTATTCAGGTTCACATACCCAAACCAGGCAAACTCAGAGCTCAGGACGCTGCAGTCCCGGCCTCCAAACTCAGGCCAATCAGCATCATGAGTTGTTGGTGGAGGACATATATCACTGCCCGCCTTGCTGGATCTCAGGAACGTCAGTGGCTGGATGCACATCTAGTCTCTTCACAACATGGTGGCCGAAAAAGTCATGACAGCGTCTCAGCCTTCACTATTTTGGCTCAAAGATACGCTCTTGGTGATTTTGTGGGGACACTCGATTTGTCCCGGGCTTTTGATCATGTCTCCCCTGCTCGAGCAGTAGCAACGCTGCAATGGCATGGGTGTCCCAATTTCTTGATTAAAGGACTTCACAAACTTTGGTCCAATCAGAAAAGGTTCCTTAGCTGGCATGTGGAATTCTTGCCCACGCCACATCAAGTCAGGACATCAATTCCTCAGGGGGATGGACTGTCTCCCCGCGTCCTCAATTTGTTACTGAGCGTGCCAGCAAAAGTGATTCAAACTCAAGAGCCGGAAGCCCACCAGGTCATCTTCATGGACGACCGAAGCTGGGCCTGCTCGCAGTGGGCGTCATTTCGCCATATTCTTGACATGTGGACAGAGCATGCCGGTCGACTTGGCTTGCGGGACAATGAGTCCAAAAGACAATTTACAGCAAAATCAGCCGCCAAAAGGGATCGCCTTCGCAGAGCTTTTGGAACTCAGATGGTGCTGCACTTGAATGCGCTTGGAGCCTACTTAGGCCTTGGGAACATCCAGGAAATGGAATCTGAACGAATCCAAAAGGCCCAGGTGTGCGCTGATAAGATCAGGGCGGCTCCAGTGTCATCAGCTCTTCGCACCTTCGTGGCATCGGCGGCTGCAAGTTCAAAGGCGGCTTTTGGATGGATATCCAGGGCGCCAGCTAAAACTGTGGTTGAGAAGCTGGAAGCACGCGTTCGAAAAGCCTGCTATGCACAAAAAATGGCTTCACCTATTCTCACTAAATTGGTGTTGGGTCATCAGCAAGACATCAGGTTTGTTGCTGGCCAAGCGGCCATCTCTGCGGTGTTGCGCCTGGTCATGTCAACCAAGGAGGAGCTGAAGGATTGGGAGCACACGGCTGGCCCAGCGGAGAGATGCAATGCGTTTCTGGCTGGCCTTGGATGGGCAACTCGAAGCCCTTGGCTGTGGTTTCATGAAAAGCTCGGGATCTTCCTTTGTCTGCACCCAAGACATGCTAGATTTGTCCCAAGTGTGGAGCTTGTCAGACACAATCTGCGTGAGAGTTGGAGATGCACTCTGTGGCACCGATTCCTGGATTCGAAGCGTCACGAAGCTCCAGCGCTACGTCACATGGACTACGATCCTTGGTTGACGCAAAGCGCCAGAAACCTGGCTGCCAAGCATAAAAGCGCGTATGCCGTCGGAATCTTGTGTGGGGCTTTTGTTAGCCCTCTGATGACTCATCAAATGACCAGACTCCCAAATGAGAACTGCATTTGGTGTCAGGACCCACTTGGTTCATTTGATCATGTTTGTTGGACGTGTGAGCACCGTCCGGCTGAGTTCACCATGGATCCACCTGAAAATGCCTGGACAAGGCGTTTTGGGTGGGGTTGCGAAGAGGTGTTGGTACATTTGACTAAGGTGCGCGAAGCCGTGCTGAATGTCAGGTACCAGCGCAGTGACTAAGGATTCTTCCTGGCCGTGTACCCCCTCGTGGTGACACATCGAGCGTGGGTTGCGGCATGGTCTATGTCTACTACTACTACTACTACTACTACTACTACTAGAGCTGCAGTCGACGACATTGAAGAGTTCTTTCCGGGTGAACTTGCACCAGGACCTCCGGCAGCCATGACTCCCGATGTGGCCGGAGACTCCGACGCTGAACCTGAAACTCTAGAAGGACCTGTTGATGATCGACTGGTTCTCCCTGAGCCACCTGCTCCAGACCGGGCTGAAGCTGCTTTGAGAGAGGAGGCCAGGACTCCTCGGCACATGATGACACATACCCCAAAGAATCCCTCTGGCGAAACTTGCAAATGTGCTAAGATGTACAAACCTACTAAGCGTAGTAAGGGGGATCCTTGACGGTCGAATCCAACAAATTTGGGGACCACATCACTGGGGATCATCTTGTGACTAGGGATGTCAATGAACAATCAATTGATGGTGATAGGCTTGCGGTGGTCATGAAGGGTGTTGCCACCAACTTTCGATGGATTTACCCTTCAGCTAGAAGTCACGCAAAGGATATTGTTTTGGCTTTTAGACATTTTGTTGCACCGGGTGAAGAAGTTGGAGTGTTCTACTCGGATAGTGCTCCTTCCATCAAGCTCGCTTGTCGGGAAGTTGGATGGAGGCACGACACTAGTGTAGCTTATGTGTCAAAGTCAAACGCAGTCGCCGAGAGGAATCTCAGGTCAGTCCTTGAAGGAACCCGAGTTAACCTTGAACAAGGGGGACTTCATCACTCCTATAGTATATACTGGAGCTATGCCGCACGGCATTGGTGTATGGTGCACAACATTCAGGATCACCCAGAAATTAAGTCACCTTGGAAACTTTCGTTTTGGGGAAAAGTTCAAAGGACCCAACATTCCTTTTGGGACCCGGACTGGACCGAAACTTAAACCCAAGAAAGACCTTCGTCTTGATCCTACTTCTAATCCAGGTATTTTCCTAGGTTATGCTTTGCAACCAGGCTTCATTTGGAGAAATGCATATCTTGTTGCTCCGTTGAAAGATCTCAATGAAAAGGATTTCAATGAATCTGTTCAAGTTATCCGTGTTAACCAACTCACTGTTCCAGATGGACCTTTTATTCACCCGCTAAAAGGTAGGTATAAAGCCATCCGGGAAGGCTTATATGAAAGCCTCAGTCTTGAGCCGCCTCCGGACATCAAGAAGATGGATGCTGAGACGGTTGAGGACCTTGTTTCTTCAAAGAAGACCGCCCTTAAGGCACCCTATGACGGAGAAGACGAACTCGAGGAGTTGCTGAGGGAAGCTGGGTTGGAAAGTGATGACATTGAGGTCATTAATCCGGTAACTGGTGGTACTGAATACATCAAGAGATGATCCTTCTTACTATGATTCAAGTGGTTTCAAGGCTCGTAGGTACAAGGGATCCTCCAAACCCAAAGATATTCCAACCTTTCTTTGGCGGGGGGCCTCTAAAGCGGCTAGAGAGAGGGCCAAGAGGGAAGCCTTGTTGAAAGAGGCAGCCGAGAAGCATGATGCGGCTGTCGCCAAAGAACGTAAATACAACAGGGTTATCACCAAATTGGCCGCGACAGCTGAACCGAAATCCAAGAGTAGTGAAGATAATGTTCCTGATGATTTCATTCCTGCAATGCCGGTCATCTCCGATTCGGGGGGGTCGCATGGTGGAAGCCAATGCCACAGAGACAAGTTACATGATCAGTCCGAACTCATGTGCTTTCACTTTCGAATGCTCTTGTGGCAAGGCCCGTTGGCCAGAAGGAGATAAACAACACTCCTGCTGCTCAGGCTGCACTCGAATGGAACAAGCTTATAAGTAAGGGTGCATGGGACTATTCCACTGTAAGGGAATGGAGCGATGTTTCCAAAGAAGCCATCAAGAACAAAACAAAAGTTCATGTTGGTAAAGCCTTTGGAATATGTGTTGAAAAGGGGAGCGAACTTCCACAGGGTGACCCTATGCGCAAATTCAAAGGGCGTACGGTCTTCCAGGGGAACAATGTGAAAGACGAAGCAGCAGATGTTGCTTTGTTTGCCGAGTTAGGCAGCTCTCCAGCCAACATGGAAGCAGGCAAAGCCTTAGATGCTTATGGGGCGATGCCAGGGAACAAAACTACTCAGGGAGATGGCAAACAAGCTCACACTCAAGCATTGATGCAAGGCATTCTGACTTGGATCAGATTACCACGAAATCGATGGCCCAAGGAAGGGATTGGAGTTTACGTTGACCCAGTTGTTCTTCTTGTTTTGGCTTTGTATGGTCAGCCGGATTCGGGGGGTCTATGGCAACGTCATGATGAGAAAGCATTATATGCTGTAGGGTTTCATCCTCTATATCCCGAATGTTGGCCATCAATGTTTTGGCATCCTCGTTTGAAAATACTATTTGGTGTTTATGTGGATGACTTCAAGATGTCAGGACCCGCAAACAACATTGATGAAGGGTGGAAGCTTATATCATCGCAAATTGACATGGACACACCTGAAGACGCTGGAGGTTATCTTGGATGTGAACATGTTTTCAACTACGATATCAAACTGGACAAGTCTGATCACCCCTTTGCCCATGTCTTCGTTGCTGGCGTTCCTGACCCCTCTAGTAAGCCAGCCAGTCCGGCCCGCCGAACTCTACAATAGACCGAATTTGCAGCTTCACACCATGTAAATAGGCCTACACTGCACGGGGGGTGTTGTTGCACAGTCTATATGTACATACCATACTTTTCACCCATATACTTGTGCGCTCATGGCTCAAGAAATAGTGCGTGTATCGCGGGGTTAGGTTGTGGTTGGTAGTGGCTTTTAGCCCGTTTCTACCCGGTTGTATGATGTATCGTATTTTTTTGGGGGGTTTGCGTGGCACAAAACCTTGTTGTAATGAGGGTTTGTTGTTTGTTTTCCCTTCCAAAAAATCTGCAATATGAAAGGGGGTGGCAGACCATCTGCTTGGATTGCGCGTCCCGGAAAGGATTGACCAACGTGCTGATGAAGAAGTACAGGCCTCGTGTATGTAACACGTCTGATATCGTTTCATAACGTTGAAGCATCTGTCATCTGTGGCTCAGGGTGACTGGATTGAGTAATACGATCCAAACCGCCGCAACGCAATGTTGTGCTTAGCTCTGCTCTTACCGCTTGCTTGGGCAGCCCAAGCAGATTCTACGTGTGAAAGAAACGATGCCAAGGGGACAAGTCTTTTGTCCTTAAAGGCTGATGCCGTCAGGTCACGTGACACCCGCGATATCTTCGCAGATGTGGTGTCTACTTTTGCGGACAACGCCAGTGCCGCCAATGACAGTAATGCTTCATGGCAACGTGTTAACCAAAGTTTGCACCAAAGCGTCCAAGATTTGGTTACTTGCCTGCAAAGTTTTGTTTAAAAATTACAGTACATAGTACGTTGTGTGTTATTTTGCTGCTTCGCTTCTTGTTTTGGATTTTCAAGGTTGCTAATGTTTTCACGAAAACTTGTAATCTCGAAAGGTAGCGGTGAGCTACCTGAGTTCCCCCTTGCGTAGCAAGTATTAGGGGGCGAGCGGTGCAAGTGCAAGAGTTTGGGCCGGTTATGTCTCGGTCCGCCTTTCAAGGGGGGGGGGGGCCCCCCCCCTTCGATTCCCCCCAGGTCCGCCTCTAAAGCCGGGTTTGCAACATAGGCGGACTACAAGGAAACGCCAACAGCCGCACATGCACTTTCATCCACCACGTTTACATACATCCCCACCCCAACCGAAGTCAAGACCCGCACTGAAACTCGACAATGTCAGATTGCTCAAGAACTTTGTTTCGTTCACCCTAACACCCGCGATGAACAATGTCGTAGCAAGAACGTTGCGACGGACTGCGTTGCAGTAGTCTCAAAAATCGTACATGATATACCAGTAGTACCGCACAAGGCGGTGGCGGAAGTTTCAAAAATAGGAACCCTATAGGAGAGATTGGTTGTTGTGAATCAGAGATGGCAGAGCGAAGCCACTGCTGGACTGAAAGGCGATTGATCTCTCTCACTCTTGTCTACCTGTCTATCTATCTATCATATCTATCTATCTATCTATCTATCTATCCATCTGTCCATCTGTCCATCTATCCATCTATCCATCTATCCATCTATCCATCTATCCATCTATCCATCTATCCATCTATCCATCTATCCATCTATTTCTCCCTCTATCTATCCATCTATTTCTCCCTCTATCTATCTATCTATCTATCTATCGATCTATCGATCTATCGATCTATCGATCTATCGATCTATCGATCTATCGATCTATCCCTCTATCCCTCTATCCCTCTATCCCTCTATCTATCTATCTATCTAACTATCTATCTATCTATCTATCTATCTATCTATCTATCTATCCTATCTATCCTATCTATCCTATCTATCCTATCTATCCTATCTATCCTATCTATCCTATCTATCATATCTATCATATCTATCATATCTATCTTATCTATCTATCTATCTATCTATCTATCTATCTATTTCTCCCTCTATCTATCCATCTATCCATCTGTCCATCTATCCATCTATTTCTCCCTCTGTCTATCCATCTATTTCTCCCTCTATCTATCTATCTATCTATCTGTCTATCTATCTATCTATCTGTCTATCTATCTATCTATCTATCTATCATATCTATCATATCTATCATATCTATCATATCTATCATATCTATCTATCTATCTATCTGTCTATCTATCTATCTATCTGTCTATCTATCTATCTATCTGTCTATCTATCTATCTAACTATCTATCTATCTATCTATCTATCTATCTATCTATCTATCTTATCTATCTTATCTATCTTATCTATCTATCTATCTATCTATCTATCTGTCTATCTATCTATCTATCTATCTAATCTATCTATCTGTCTAGCTGTCTACCTGTCTATCTTTTGTGCAGTGTCATTCAGTGTAATGTAGTGTAGTGTAATGTAGTGTAATGTAGTGGAGTGTAGTTGTAGTTGTAGGTGGTAGTGGAGTGTAGTGTAGAGTAGTGTCGTGAAGTGTAGCGGCAGGTAGTGTAGTGTAGTGTAATGTAGTGTAGTGTAGTGGAGTCTAGTGTAGGGTAATGTAGTGTAGTGTAAGGTAGTGTAGTGTAGTGGAGTGTAGTTGTGTAGTTTTAGTTGTAGTGTTGTGGAGTGTAGTGTAGTGTAAGGTAGTGTAGTGTAGTTTCATGTTGTGTAGTGGAGTGTAGTGGAATGTAGTTGGGTAGGTGTAGTTGTATTCGTAGTGTAGTGGAGTGTAGTGTAGTGTAATGTAGTGAAGTGTAGTGTAGAGAGTGTAGTGCAGTGTAATTTAGTGTAGTGGACTGTAGTGGACTGTAGTTGTGTAGTTGTAGTTGTAACCTGTAGTGTTGTGAAGTGTAGTGTAATGTAATGTAGTGTAATGTAGTGTAGTGCAGCAAAGTGTAGTGTCATGTAATGTAGTCGAGTTAAGCGAAGCAACATCTGAACCGCCAAAAGTGGTCCGAAACCCTAGTGTTTTTAACATGTTAACTTCCAAATCTGCTTCGCGCCACAACGGCGTGCACTTTTTCGAAACTCGACATCCCAGCCTCCAAAAGTGGTCCGAACATGGTGTGGTTTGTACATTTTGACTTCGAAATGTGCTTCGCGCCACAGCGGCGTGCTCTTTTTCGAAACTCGACCTCTGAGCCTCCAAAAGTGGTTCGAACCCCTGGTGTTTTGCACATTTTGACTTCGAAATGTGCTTCGTGCCACAACGGCGTGCACTTTTTCGAACCTCGACCTCTGAGCCTCCAAAAGTGGTCCGAACCCCTAGTGTTTTTAACATTTTGACTTGGAAATGTGCTTCGCGCCACAACGGCGTGCACTTTTTCGACATCTTAAGTGCCAAAAGTGGTCCGCATTTGGTGTGTTTTCTACATTTTGACTTGGACATGTGCTTCGCGCCACAACGGTGTGCACTTT